CAGGGTTCACTATGGTAGTGTTTGGAACATACACAGTCTCTCCCTGTAGTACTTCATGATAGATTTATGCCTAAATAACTGTTTTAAATGTCACCTACTGTAAAGCTTTTTTCATACTTTGACTAAAATTGATACTTGTTGGACATCAGTAATGCTAACCCAGGATTTCTCAATCTCTCACTTGCTTCTGCTTGCATATATTTTTCTGTTCCATTTTTTCCCTCTTCTACCTCCTCTTTTTTACCTGATGTTAGGAGAAGCTTAACTTTTTACTTGATCATCTAAGGATTCAGCAGTCAGAAATGAGAGAAAGAGTTCTAGCTCTGATTCTCATGGTTTTCTCTTCCATGACAATGAAAATCAGTCTGTCTCATGTATTTATCTGGAACTCCTTCTCTCAGTGGTTTAGCACTTCATTCCTGACCCAGCAAAGTATGCAAGTATATATTGAACTTCCAGCGTGGAATCCATTCCCTTGCTTGTTTTTACTAGGCTGCTCTTCTTTTCAAAGTTAATCACATATTTTTAAATATTTTAGTCTGGAAAGAAACTGCTTAGAGGAAGTAATAAAAGTCTGTCTGAGACCTGGAATCTGGTGTGCACTGAAAGCAGATGAGTAGACCTGTTATCCAGAGTCTTTAAAATCATAGATATCATGTCTAACTTCTACAGAACATATCCATCCACAGGCTTCTCATGTTAAGATAAGAAAAAAAAATCCTAACTCAGTAGCATGTCATAAATAAAAACAAACGAGAAGGGAATCTGGCAGGGAAACTGAAGTGTAAATTGCCACTTTCAGCAGTATTTTGGTGTTTAATAACACTGAAAAAAATAAGCAGATATGTGAGATAGTAGTTTAAGGGAAGCATGGTCCATGGGTCTGCATACAAATGAAGCAAGAAGGAAATTATTAGACTGAGATTTTGTATTAACTTGGATGTGCATACTTTGGAAGAGAGAAGAAATTAATCTACGTGTTTACTCAGTGAAAGGCAAAGATGTCCTTTTGCTGTAGAAAAAAAGTATTTAGAGATGTTTTAGGTAGAATTTTTATTTGACAGAAGAAGAACTAATTTGATCTAGTTGCTGGGTAAAAAGTCAGGATAAAAGCAGACAAGAAATAGTTATGACTGGGGTTTTTTTGTTTGTGTTTTTTATCTGTTTGGTTATTTTAATTGGCACTAATTACCATATTATAGAACTTCTTTGTGGGAGAACATGGTGTAAAGTATCTTTTTTTCTGGAATGGGTTGCCCAGAGAAGTTGTGGATGTGCCATTCCTGGAAGTGTTCAAGGCCAGGTTGGATGGGGCTCTGAGCAACCTGGTCTAGTGGAAGGTGTCCTTGCCCACACCAGGGGGTTGGAACTAGGTGATCTTTAATAAAGTTCATTCCAACCCAAGTCATTCCATGATGCTATGATCTTCAAACCTTGAAAAAAAAAAAGCGAAGGTATGCTCTTAAAAAAAAAAGAAAAAAGTCAAAAAGTGCAGAAAAAGGGAAAGGTATACTGTAACTCAAACAGAAAGTACAGACTTGATGGAGGAAGTGAAACTACTTTGAAGAAGACATTAATGATCTGTGTAGAATCTGTGCAGGAGGCCGGAGCAGGAACCAGAAAGGACCATTATGATCCTTTAAATCATGAAGTGCACTTACTGTCTTAGTGAGGCAAACCCCATGTTTCTAAACTTTTCCTTAAGAAGAAAACATTTGTCCCTAAAAATCACCTGATCTAGGTAATACAGTTTGTAGCCTCTCCCATATGTACCAAATGTGTTGTATGTAGTTTGGAGCTGAACTAACACTTCAGCAAGAGTCAGATTCTTTTCCTTGCTTCAGCATTGGTCTTCTTGGCTACAAACAGTTGTTTCTATTGAAAGCAGTGAGCTTTCTGTTCAATGTTTTATTTACCTTTTCCATAAAGTAGCAGCTGCCAAGGTTACCAAAATTAGTGTTTAGTAGATGATTAAAACTTCATTTTAGACATATAAGCAGAAGTGTTCATTTATACAAGCTGTGAGCTTGTATTGACCTTTGATTTTTAATGGTGGCTATAGACTCCTCTCTTATATCATACCATCATTACATTTATTTATAGATATATATTTAGTTTGCAAAGTCCCACACTTATGGGTAATTTCAAAATAAAAATCGGAGTGGTGTGCAGTGTATGTGGATACTGTTTTCATAAAGAAAATCCAAACTGCCCTAGGTGATGATACAACTTGAATTGTTTGTTGTAAGAAAGTTAATCTAAGCATATGCAGTGTTTGGAAAAGGTGACTGAAAAAGAAGATTAAAATTTAAATTTCATAAAAGTATAGAATGAACACAACTGACATATGGTATAAACCATTATAATGTTTCATATAGACTTCATTTATGTGAGTAAATAATTTTTATCGTTGTTTTGTTAAGACCTTTCATTCCTGCATTTGGGAATTTGTAAGAACAGAAGTAATTGTGTAATAATAGGAATCATTTAGCTTTCTCTGAAAATAGTTTGAAGTTACCAGTAGTTGCTTATGCTAAGCTCTGACAATTCCTTGGTTGTTAGCTGTAAGAATTCTTGGTTGGCAGAAGGACAAGTTCAACTAGGATTTATCTACAAAATCATGTCTCAGTTTTATCTAGCTGACCTAGCCCTGTATGGAGTATCATAGAGAAAATGAGGCAAGTGTGTGGGAGTAGTAAGGAGAGGTGTGGATGACAGAAGTGGCAACTGATCCGTAAGAGACAAAGCTCTTTCTGACACTTGAAAGCTCTTTGTTTTCACTGGGTGCACTTCTGTTTTGAGAACGTTGTTCCTATGTGAGGGAATGTAGTTTTGTGCTTTGTTTGGAACATGTCCATCATGTCTGCAAATGTATAGCTAGTGCATGATGGGCCAACAGTGGTTACAATATAGTTTTCCTTTTTATCTACTAAATGTAAAGTGTTAGAACAATTATTATATAGGATGATTTCTTGAACAGATGAAAAAAAGTGGGACTTCTGGAGGATAATGATTGTTACATTAAAGTAGACCTTCTAGAGGATGTCTAGTAATTTTCAAAGCCTGATCAGGCTAGCAGAAGATACTGGTATAGAGAAACTCAATGAAAGTAATGGCATAGTGTTGAGCTGTGTTACATGTAAATTGTAATACATGGGTATTTATGGTCCCCCTGCATTTTTAGTCAGTTTGTACTTTGATAAAAAAAAAGTTTATTTAAAAGCTTCTGTGTCAGATTTAAATGTGCTACTGGGGATCATAGAGAAAGAGTCAGACGCCTGGAATCTGCCCAGACTATAAAACTGGTTATGCAAAATTTCTTGTTGCTGGTTTATTAGTAGATATTTATTTTAACTGAACATCATTGTAAATTGTAGAGACAGAGATTTGGGGTTTCTTTTTATGCCTTCTTAACTAGTTTATTTTCTCAATTTTATGTCATGAGAAGTTATGATATTGAATTTACATTATTGCAACAATGCTGGTTCTGCAAGTCTTTGAAAGTAAAGTCAATAATGCATGCAGATAAATTGGCAGAATTGCATGTTTGTTGATCAGCAGCTACTTCCATTCTAAAAAGTTATTAAAATAGAAAAATTAAAATAATTATAATGTGGTTTTAAAATAGAGGCTTCTCTTGTACAAGCCTCCCCAAACAGAAGGTGAAGTTGTGCTTCAAATAGTGAGTTATGCATATTTCTTTTTTCAAGACTTTATCCATGGGGAGACAGTAATCCACCAGCTTGGCTGGTTCATGAGCTCATGGCTTCACGTGGCTGTTGTGCTGCAGTTTTCCAAGCCTTGTAATGAGAGGGGCAGTGAACAAATGGGTTGTTCTGCCTCTGGATTTCTTCTCGTGGGAGTAGGCTTGTGACCTGCAAGTCTACTGCAAGTGTGGAATTCTCAATGGCGTTGGAAAAGAGAGAGCAGAGCATGGATGTTCATACTTTCAAATATACAGTTAGAGATAGGTGGAACCTTATTTCAGATAAATAAGTTATTTGGGATAGAGCTAACATTGTATGCATTAGAAGACATCCTGCACAATAAATCCTGTGCTTATAAAGGCAGGCTCTTATTAGACTATGAACTTGTGGAAATGTACTTTAGCTTATGTGTGCAAGGCAAACAAATGATTTTATGTTCTGCTACTCTTTTTCTATAATTGAAAACCTTAAGAAAAAAGCTTTAATAAGAGATATTTTTAAGAACTAATTAGTAGAACGTGTAATGGATTTGTCTGGTGTATCTTTGAGTGATCCTATGGAAATGTGCACCTTCTAAAAGAGTGTTTACTCCTGTATAGGCAGTTTTAACTATGAATCCCAGTGTAACTAATTAAAAAGGAAATGTTTTTAGTAACAATACGTGAACTCACAGAATAATTGGGTTGTAATTCAATCTGTCAGCTCTTATGCCATTCATAAACTCAGGGTTTATGAAGGCCTCAGAAATCTCAGATTGAATTACAGCTTTTTTCTGTACATAACCTGGAACAATGTATATCTTAGCATTTCATTTGTGAGACTGAGAATGTTTATAATCCTGAAAATATTACTTAAACGTCTACTTAGCATAAAATTTCAATTTTGCATTTGGAGAAAAAAACTATATTGCATTGCAATTCACAAGTTTTAATTTAGACTTTATATCAGTTACGTTAGAGCTTTAACTGTGGATGTTTATATGCATAAGCTGCTTACTTTTCTTTATATTGTGGTATGTGTATGTGAAATGTTTTCTTACATATTTCTGTTTCAGGTAAAACAAATGACTGTCTAGAGTGTTTACATTTTGTTTAATACTTACTTTGGTTTACTGTTGAAATACAATTTTACTAGTTGCCAGAGTATTACCCCTCAACCTTATTTATACCATTTTCTTAACACAATAAAGTCAGCTAGGAGAGCTCAAAATATTTGTATATATGCTGTATTTACAGATTTTTTTTTTCGGACTTCATTCTCTCAGGGCAGTTCTTAAATATTCTCTGTCCTCAGGCTGCTGAGTCAAACCATGAAGGACCATTTGGTACGAGTGGCTAACGAAGCAGAATTTATCTTGAGCCGACAGAGAGCAGAGGACATCAACCGCCATGCTGAATTTGAGGTAAGAAATGAAATCCTTTTGAAAAAAACCAAAAAAACCAGAGGAACCCCACAAAAACCTAAAAAGCCCACTGGGTTTGAGGATTCCAGTGTGTGATATGGGCTTTTCAAGCACAGGAGGTTCCATTCTGAGAAGTGCTTTGCAGTCATAGGGTGATTTGTTAAGTTTGCCAATAACTTTGATGGAAAACCAGGCTGAGTGGAACAGCTCAGAACTTGTTGAAATCTGCACACCCTAGTTTGTAGGGGAAATAATTTTATCATAGCAATAGTGCTCTGTTCCATTTAGCAAATATCACTGTATATGTTAAAGCTGCTTAGCATCACAGTCAAGATAGAGCTGAAAAAAAACCCAGCTTTACTGAAGATAGATGGTAGCAGCCTGTGAAGTGCAAAATGAGAAATTACTTTTTTTTCTTTTTGTATCATTTGCTATTTGACTTAATCCCTCTCTAAAACCATTCTCCTTATGTTTTACATGCCTCTGTGTGGTTTTGTTATGTTTTCATATTTTCACCCCAATTAAGGGATTCTAAAGTGAAATGATGGTCTTTTTTTTGTAATGAACTTGTATTATTTGTAATAAAATACAAGCCTTTTTTCTGAATCACTTTGGTCATACCTCCAATTTTGGATCTCAGTTACATTACATATCCTTTCTCTGTGCTTTAATTATTGGGCTAAATGAAAATAAAGCTAAATCTCACTAAATTCACTAATATTCTACTTAAAGTGTACTTAGTCTTTCTTCTGACATGTGATACTACTTGTGGTTTTGTTTTTAAAATGAAGCATTAAGAGATTGAAGGCACATTTGTGCTTAACGTATTTTTAAACTGTTTTTCTCTTAAATCTCTACTTGAAAAAATACTCCCCAAAGATGAAAGCATATTTGTCTTAGACAGTGCTTATGTTCTAAAGGTCATCTGTGTTGGCCCCAGGATTCAAGCTGTGCGTTGTTTAATAACATATCTGCACTTCATCTAGAGCTAGTTACCCCCTCCTGCAAACAGAGATGCTGTAAGATATCTACAGTACCATTTTGCAATGGTGAAATAGCAGGCATGTTTCATTTATTACATCAAGGGGTTGGCGACAGTCCTGTGGAGATGAAAAGTGCATCTTTTTACTTCGTTGCCCGATAGTCACTGGAGTGGGACATGCTTGACATCTTTTTGCTCTGGATTTATGCAGAAGCTCCATGCATGACATGGCATTGATTAGATGAACAGCCCACTTTTTTTCTTCACATGCTAACTATTTGCTAAGGGGAGTGTGGGCACTGAGAAAACATGTGAGAAGTAAAGGGTTCTGTCATGTAAATACAGGCTATCAGTGAATCCAGTTGTTCAGTGACAACTTCACTGTTAGCCCTGTTTCAGTTTCAAGACACCTTTTATGATGTCTGGAAGAAATTTAAGCTGAGCATCAACTTACATTTTTAATATAGCTCTGAGTTTTGCTGTGACAACTCTCTAGGGTGAGAGTTGGCTGATACTTTCAGTTGATGCTGGTTTGGATTTGTGCTTGTATGATGGTTCAAGAAGTTTAACTCATCAGGTGGAACTTAAACAGAAACTAGTATACTAAAATAGCAGCAGTCTGTTCATCCAGTTTAGTTTTGGTACTGTGTTGGAAAAACCTTGATCCAACATGACTTCCACAGGTGTAAAAGCTGAGGATATATAGCTTGGATTCTATCAAATGCTTGAACAACAAACCTGGTGTCTCATGAAGTCAGGGTTACTGATACCTGTCAGATTTCAGCCAGTGTTGTGTTTCTTTGTGGAAGGGGAATGATTACTCATATCCATCTGAATCTGCAGGTACCACATTAACAGTCAGAAATTCTTGTGTACTGTGTTCCATCCATCCATGACATGGTCTGCATTTCTTACATCCTGTCAAGTGTGCTTGACTTGTTTCAACCCACTGGTACTTTTTAGCCATGGTCTTTCTCACAGCTTTTTAAAGTGGTGCTCCAGGCTACAGAAGAGTTGGCATTCTTCTGTCACACTCAGAAATTCATTTGCCACTTGACTAGAGCAGAGCTATTCCATCACTTGATGGGGATGGATCTGTGCTGTGTTGGGTTGCTGACATGCTGTGTGTGCAATTGGTAGGTGTGTTCCCGTTGTGTGAAAGGGTGTCGATACCCCTGTTTTGGTCTTAGCACTCATATCAGGGCACTTACAGGAATGTAACAGGTGGGACTCGTAGATAAGAGCAAAAGGTCTTTGAAACAATTGATGGAACCTTTGATCTGCTTTATTTCTCCATCTTGAGGAGCTGGAAGGAAGCAGAGTAGCAGATGATAAGCTGTAAGCTGCAGATTGTTTTGGCTAGCCTGACTGGTGTGGTTTGGTCACCTGCATACATGCTTTTCCTGGATTTGCTGCTTCATCTTCCATCTGTTCTTGGGAAATGAGTTGAAATGAAGATGGTATTCTCCCAGTCATAAAAGAGACTCTGCGTGGTCAGTCCATGGAATGAAACATCCTGTCTGCCATGGCGTGTGTCCGTGTGTGAGCGGCTGTAAAAGGAAGCAAATAGGCTGTACTTTCATAAATTCTGTCTCATCATACAGAGATATGCAGCTCAGAGACTTCCCTAACCAGAGGTCATGTCTTTAATAGTGTCGTGATTTTTATGCTGCAAGTTCCTCCAGTTTTAACATTTGACAGAAATATTTTGCACCAATCACGTCTTAAGATGTGATAGCTGAAGAAAGTGAGCAGATCCTGTGTACACCAAAAAGATTGAACAATTTCTTGGAAAATAGAGTGATCCTATAACACATAGCCCTGAAAAATGGTATATGCAAATGTGGGTTTGATCACATTTAAAAACATTTTGTGATTCTGATAATTGCTAGTTGCAAAGCTTCAGGTTTGTTTTGTTTTGGGTTTTTGTTTGGGTTTTTTTTTTCTGTTTTGTTTTGTTTGTTTTTTAAATGGTTGGGACAAGCATTTGTGGTTTTAGATCAGAAGGAAACTTTGCCACCTGAGCTGGGGGGAGAACAGAGATGAATCCAGTTGACTGAGGGATAAAGACCAGAGATAGATGAGAATGAGGAAAGGACTATTACCTATTTTTCATTTTTATTCAGACTTACATGTCTGGTGTTTCATATCACATATGATAACATTGGGTCAGCAAAATTCCAACTTCCAATTTTCTTTTTAAAGATCTGTAGTAAGTTTACTGCTACCTGGCTTTAATTCTCCATTTCTAAAAGTCATGACAAAGATGAGCCTTGCAATACGTGTGTCAGATTTCGGACACGTTTGCACCATGGTACAAGGGCGATTTTAAAGTAAAAGGCAAATTATCTTGTCATAAAACTGAAGTCTGTTATTTCAGCCACATAGAGGCAGGAGGAAGTGATGGGAAATTTGGACAAGCTTCTTACCCAGGCTCTGTAGTTATGTATTATTGTATAGTATTTGGTTATAAATGGAGAAAGGATGGTCATTGTAAGACGACAGAAAAACCTAGGAAAATAGGTAATATAGGAAAGACACTGCTATGCTGAACACTGCACTTGAGAAATGTGATAAAAGAAATTATTCCTCAGGGGACATTTTAAAAGTTGCACAGGGTCCAGAGGGAAAGATACCACTCCTTTTTGGTTCTTAATTCATTGTGAGTATAGGACAGATGTTTTCCTTCCAGAAATGGATTAAGAAATGCCCACCTATCAATTCTTTCATAGCCAGGAGGAGACAAAGAAACAACAGCAAATGCAGCACATGCACACTTTGCTGCATAATGTCTCATTGGGCTTTGCTGTGTCTCCATGTGGTGGGACCCTGTGTTGGTCAGAGTACTGAGAGGAACCCTTTCCATAAAGTAGGATGACAAAAGCACAGGAAGAGTCTCTAAAGCAGGGATAGTTTTGGGTTTGTTTTTCTTTTTGACCTGCTGTTCTAGTTAGTGCTATAACTTCAGATATGCAGGAAACTCTGAGTGCCTGAGTGAGATAGATTTAGACTAAAAGGATTTGAAAAGAAATCTTTCTTCTCCTTGTAACTTCTTTCTCTTTTCCTTACAATGCTCTCTCTTTCAGAAACTTCAAGTGTCTTGAACAGCAGCAAAACCCATCCACTACTTCTGTGTCTGATAGCAAGAAGGGCATCTGTCACTGGCTTGGCTATTTTTATGATTCTTCCTTTTAATCAGAAGTCTCTGTCTCCATTTGCATTGCAAACCCCTCCTTTGCAGTCCTGCACTCCAGAAGCTCCTTCAAGCTGGAGGTGCTCTGCTTCCTTCATGGGAAGCTTATGCAATTTTTTACCCTCTCCATGGGGCTCTACCCTATAACTTAGCAGCCAGGATAAAGACAAAAAAAGTCTTCACTTTGGTGCCAGGCCTCTCCTTTTCATAATAGGACATAATATAAGTAATGTAACAAATTGTGAGCAAACCAGTTATATTGTCTTCCTTCTAAGCTGGTATTGTAAAAAAAAAACCCCAAAACTAAAAACCCAAAAACATGTTTTGGAGGTGAAGGATTGGTTGTGAGAGGTTTTTCTGTGGCAGATTACAAAGGTCAACCTTTTTATTTTAATTTTTTTTCCTAATAGTTTCTTCACCTATGTTTTCACTGCTACCTCTGTAAGTAGTTACATCTATGAAAGTAGACATATGGGGAGGTCCCAAGGAGACCTGAGACATACTTACCCATTTTACAGTGTGATTGAGCCTCAGAGAAGCCTGATGAAGCAATATTTCACTTATTTCTCTAGTGAAGTGGCAGTGAAACACACGTATTTACAGTGAATGTGGAAATGTGAGCATTCCTAATATAACTTATAACCCTTATAACGTTAAATTTTGCCCATTGTCCCTGGGATTTATGTGCTCATGTCTCTTAGGCTTTTTTAAAAATCTCACCCTGAGTGTTTGGTAGACCTGAAAATCCTGAAGAGGAACCTCTTTATGCCTGAATTCCAACAACTGGTTTCATGCTACCACCCGGATTGTTTTCTAGAAATGACC